GATCCGGCAGCTGGCACAGGCTTCGCTCTCACTGCCTGCAAACAAGCAAATATCAATCGATGGGCGAGGATCCGTAAGACGAAGAGGGCAGCTTGGATGTGTCGCACTGCAGAGACCCGCAAAAGCCTGGACCTGGCTGTCGAATATCAAATAGAGCCTTGCTGCTCCCGCGTGAGGGTGAGAGCAGCGCGTGAGCCGTGGTGTGTGTCGGAGGGGATTCGGGGGTGCTGGAGGCAGGAGCGTGAGGTGCAGCCCCCCAGCTCGGTGCTGTGCAGAGCCTGCCCCCAGCCCGCCGTCACCCTCTGGGGTCTCGCTGCTGAGCAGGGACCAGAAATGAGCCGGCGTTGGCCGTGCCTACGGCCCGGGGAGAGGGGACACAGCGATGCTTTGGGCTGGGAGCTGAGTTAGGGGTGTCCTGGGGTGTGTCAGGTCAGGTTGGGCAGCTCTAGAGCAGTTTCACGGCAGAGCAGGGCTCAGCCGCGGGCTTGGGAGGCTGTTGGAAAGCCCACGGGCAGCTCTGCGCAGACCGGAGCTGTGCTTCCTTCCTCTGCACATCGGTTTTCTACTGTCCCCCTGAGCTGTCCCCATTCGGTGCCTGGACCCCGCTGAGCCCTGGCACAGGCGGCACACGGGGAAACGTCTGTCTGCGGGCGAAGGGCAGCGCTGTCCTCCCCGGCTCTGCCTTACACACCCTCTCGGCCCCCACTCCCCAGGGACCTGCTGTGCCTCCAGGGCACAGCTCCCTCCTGCCCGAGCTCCGTCCCACCTTAGCGCCTGCCTGGCACTTGCCAGCACAAGGGAGCTGGGCACAACGAGTCACCGAAGTCGATTTTTGGCGGGGGTTGTGTTAAATGTAATTAGTGGATGTGCTGGAAGTCTCTGCAAATCACCATCCTTGTGATGCTTAAAAAAAAATGGCTTGTCCTTTCTTTGCTGGGCTCTTTTGCATGTGAAAACACACACACACGCACTTGCATGGATTCTGTGTGTTCAGCTGCAGCATCAGGGTGCTGCTTTCACGTCTCTCCAGCTGAAATCAGTTCCCGAGTCTCTCCTTTGGGGAACCGGCTCTGCCAAGCTTTGGCAAAGGCTTTACTTCATTGTTGCTTTCCTTCCCTCTCATTTTGCCCTCTTGCCTTTCCCTTGCTTGGGAAGATGCCGGCAGATCATGGGGTACAGCAGTGGACACGTGGCTGGAGTGCTGAGGAGGATGCCCAGGGCTGGGTGTCCCTGGGGTGGTGCAGGAGGTGGCTCCTGTGTAATTTAGGGCCGGAGGCACCCTGGGCAGACTGTTGCATGGGTGCTAGTTTGTTCTTGCGCAGTTACTCGTCCTTTGCACCTTCTCCCAGCGCCCATGCCGCCGCTGTCAGATGCGGGTGACAGACGGGCCGTGGGATGCTCCAGCCGTGTTGTACCTGCAGCAGTCGGCAGCTTGTTGGCAAAGCTGGCCCAGTGCCCCACAAATCCCGCCCCTGGGATTTGCAAAACCCACCCCTTTTCCCATTGATTTTTTATTATTATTATTATTTATTTATTCCTAAACCGGTTTCTGGCAGGGCTGGACATGAGCCCTGCAGTGGGTGAGAGCACCTGCGTACCAGGGCTCTGCTTACAGTGCCGGTGCTACGGCAACGTTGGGGCTCCTCAAAAAGACCCAAAGCCGCAAACCCAGCAGCCGCCCGCGGCAAAGCCGAGCCGAGGCGGAGCAGCGAGCAGCGATGTTGTTGCAATGTGTGTGGTTTGATGAGCTGTTTTGAAGAGGTGACCCGTCCCCTTTCCTCCTCTGGCTGGTACTCACGGTTCTAAGCGGCTAATGCTATTTTGAGCCTTCTTTCCTTTGCAATGCCAAAATACCCGGGAAACAAACTGAGCTTATAAAATCTGCAGTAATTTAGCACTTTTCTCCTGCTGGTTGTTGCGGGCCTGCTTTCGCCAGGGTCGGACTGCGGGATTCAATGCCTGCGCAGCCAGAGCGCTGTCACCCGGGGTCAGAGCCACCCATCAGAGTCGTCTCCCTCTTCTTCGGCTGTTTCGTGGTGGCCACGCTGCTGCCAAAGGATCCAAGGTGGCTGTGAGAAGTGGGTCCCCAGAGACCCAGCTTTGCTCCTCGGTCCTCCCCCAGCCTGGGGACAGCTTGGCGCTGGGCATTTGAGAGTCTGGTGGCCACGCTGTGGCCCCAGCTTTTCCCCCGGCCGGCTCCGGTGTGGAACCCGGAGCCTCCCTGGGGCTGGGTGAGGAGTTTGGGGCACAGCCGGTCCCCTGCTTCCTGGCCCTGCTCCCCCTGGGTCCCCTGGGGCGGGCGCTGTGTGCTGGGTCACGGTGAGGATCAGTTGCAAGAGCAGCAGCAGCCCCAATACAGCCCCGGAGGGTTGCTCCTCCTCTGGGGTCCTTCCCCCCGACACCTCAGCTCTCACCCCACGGTGAGATGAGATACCCGGGCACCAGCCCAGTTCCTTCCCCCCCGCAGGGCTCAAAGCAAAGCCTCAGTCTTTCTGGGTGGATTTCAAGCCCCTTGCGGGGGCACAATGCATGGATTGAGGTTTGCTGGCTGGCTCGTAAATCTGTGAGCCGGTTATTTTTATTTTCTTGTGAACGCTATAAAAAGATGAACTCAGGAGCAACTCCCGTCCTTTCTGGGAACTCAGCCCTGCGTGAAGGGGAACAACCTGGGCTTGAAAGTGAGCATCGACTCCGTGGGGCTTCCTGCGGTGCGGCCGCAGCACTGGCACCGTGATGCCCTGCAGCATCTCGGGCTGAGATATGCGGGTGCAGCCGGGTGTGATGGGAAAACGGGTCTCGGGGGGCGAGAAGGAGGGGAGCGGGGTTGGTGCCTCCTCTGTGATGGCACGAAGGGACAGGGGACATTGCATCCCCAGCCATGCCAGCACAGGGACCCCTGTCCTTGGGCAGTGCAGAGGCCGTGGGACGACATCTCCATCCCCAAGGCGAGGTGGTAACTGTGTCCAGGAGAGGGGGTTGAACCCCTCGGTGGAAGGATCCATAGGAGCCAGATCCCGCGGCTCTCCAAGCAGAGGTGGATGAGGGCAGGAGGAAGATAAGGCTTTTAGCCATGTTTGCGTGGCTGAATCACTGTTTTCCCTGGCTGGGAAGGGTTGAGCAGGGGAGTGTAAATGCAGATGTAAGTAATGGAGCCGTTTATACGCTCGCTCTCTGTGACTTATGCCGTGAGCAGGCCTAGACTAAATATAATGGTTACCGATATGAGGCAGTGGCCGATTTATGGCCCTCCGCATGGGGACAGGAAGATCTGGTTATAATAACACTCAGCAAGGGAAAACAAATGTTTGACAGCCAAAAGCTTCCTGGGAAGAAAGGCCGAGCGCTGGGACGGGTGGAGGGCAGCGTGGCGCAGAGGAGGGCTGCGTCGGGACCCGGACCCCGGAGCAGACCCCCGAGGAGAGCCAGGGTCCCAGATAAAAATAGCCTCCTGCATCACATCCCGGTCCTGCCATGGGCATGTCGCAAGGAGGGAAATCTGTGCGGACAGATTTACACCCTCTGTAATGGCAATTTAGAGAGACCTGATCTTCATGGGCGCTTGGTGCTGTCGGGGCACGGCCCTGGGCACCGCAGGGATGCTCAGCACAGCCCGTCCCAGCTCCCACGCGCTTTCACCACCCCCTCCGGCTGTGCTCTGCCGCAGGGTTTTCAAAAGAGTTAGTTGATCCTATGCCAGTGATGCTCTTCTGGTAAGAAAACGATGGATCTTTAAATAAAGCCCTCGGCTGCCGGCGGGGCTCAGCCTCTCGTGGAGCCTTTGCAGTGGCAAAGCGGGGGCCGCGTGAGTCACGTCAGCCGCTTGTGCGTGGCTTCGGCTGCGTCACGGGGAGCGTGGGGCCGTTCCTGGATGGACCTCGGAGATAACCCACACCCACCACCCCTCCAGCACCCGCCTCTCCTCCGCTGTGGGGTGTCTCAGGGGAGCAGGACACGGGGCGCAGGATGGAGGGCTTTATTGCGGCTTCCCCAGCTGGCTGGGGTCCCCCAGCACTCGCGCAGCCCCGGCTGCCTGGCCCCGCACCACGGCCGCAGGAAAGCAACGCCAGTGCTCTGCTTTGCTCTTCTCTGCAAGCACCTCGCCGGGGCTGAGATGCTGAGCCGTGCCCAAGCTGTCTGAAAGCATTAAAATCCTCCCCCAGCAGTGACCCCCTGATGTCCCGCTCCGCTTCCCCTGGCAGCGTAGCCTCTCCCACGGGGCCGTGGCTGTGCTCCCCCGGCAAACAGCCCCCCTCCCCACCCGTCCTTGGTGACCTTCAGACGCTCTGCAGAGCCTCTCACGCACCGAAATGGCAGGGATGAGCCATGGTCAGCAGCGCGGGGCGGTGCCCTGTGTCTCGACAGTCCCGTACTTGGGCTACGGTGCTCGTCTCAGCTACGGATGCTGCTTCCAGCCGTGCTCCATCTCGGGGAAACCTCCCCCGAGCCACGAGCCCCAGGAGATGTTAAAGCCCAGCCAGCACCGGCTGTGCCAGGAAGGTTTGTCTCTTGATTTCTATACTTCTCTCCTGGATTTTCCTACCTGAGCCGGGTTTGTGCCCAGGTGGCTGTGGCCAGCATTGCCCTGGAACACGAACGAACCAAGACTTCCCAAATGTCCCTAGAAGTGCACCCCCCTAACTCCGGCCAGACACTATGTTGGCTGGAGGGACCAGAGCCTTCAGTAGGCTCCAGGCATAGATGCAACAGGGTGTAAGTCCATCCATGACAGAGGAACAGGGGATTACACACCAGAGTTGATTTGGGGGTTTGATTTCTCTGCTCTCAGCAAGTGCTTGGCAGAAGCAAATCCTGCCCTTGGGTCCGCCGTCGGTCGCTTGGCTGAGTCCGTAGTCAGCAGCATCGCTTTAACAGTTGTGATATCTGGGTGCATTTGAATGAAAAAGGGTACAATTTGATGCATTTTAACCCAAAACATAGCCCATCCCCAGGCCTGCGATGCTGCGGGAGACTGCAAAGCCATGGGGTGGGACGGAGCTCTGCTAGGTGACATGGAAGGTGATGAAGGAGCCATCTGCTTTCTGCTGATGTCCCAGCGGCTCTGCCTCCCCCCAGGGCTGGGCTGGGACCTTGCAGTGCAGGGAGGAGCGGCCGGGCAGGGCTTCGCTGATGTGGGTCACCTCGCTGAGCTCTGCCTCCAGCGTGCTGGCGGTGTTCATCACTTGGGCCACGTGCACCTTGTTGGCTGTCTTCTTGTGCAAGAGGCAGATGAAGATCTTCCTGAAGCCCTTGCGGAAGTGTTTGGAGACCAGGGCGTAGACAATGGGGTTCACGCAGGAGTTGGCATAGGAGATGAGATGCGAGAGGATGCGGAGCACGTACGTAGCATGATTGAGGGGGAAGTACCCGAACCAGACGCAGAGGATGACGAGGTGATGGGGCAGCCAGCAGAGGCAGAACAGGACGGCTACAATGATGATCATCCTGGTGACCTTTCGCTTGGCCTTCTTGGACTCCGACATATCTTGGAGAGGGTCTACAGACCTCCACAGGTAACGAATAGTCCGCACGTAAGTGAGGCTCAGGATCAGCACTGGGATGATGTAGCTGAAGATGAAAGTGCAGATGTCCATGACCTTGCGCTGGGAGATCTCCCAGATGGGGTGGCAGACGGTGAGGTTGGCCAACTGGAACTCCTGGTAGTAGCTGAGGTAAGGGCCCGAGAAGATGAAGGAAAGCCCCCAGATGAAGCAGATGGCTGTGAGGGCGTTCCTGGGCGTCCTCAGCTCCCTCGAGTGCAGGGGGTATCGTATGGCCAAATACCTGCACGGGAAAGGGAGAGGGACACGACTGCAGTCCTGGGGAGAGCACGGAGAGCTGCTCCAGGAGCAGATTGGAAAAAAGGCGAAAGTGGTGATGGGTTTGAGCTTTCCGGGGCAATTAGTCCCACAGCTGCTTCCCTGGTGCTTCTAAGGGTCCCAGTGGGGTGAGGAGGATCCTCTCCCCGACCCTGTCCCGTCACCCTCTCTGCTCCCAGCCGTGCTTGTGGGGAAGACAGGGACGGTTCCTTTCTGTCCCTCTCCCTAATCCAGCAGATCCTCACTTGATCATCAGTCTGTCTGGCACAAGCGATAGCAGCAGTGAGGTTATGAAGCAGGAGCAAATCCCCAGGATCCCCAGACACCGCGTTCCTCACGCTGGCACACGTGAAAGCACATCACCTGTTTTCAGTTCTGTAATTAGCTGGTTCCTTAATTAAGGCTCAGATCTAGGGGCTCATGCAAGCCCCTGCTTGCTCAACACCTCCCCCTTCCTCCCAGCTCTGTGGGAGGCAGGAGGAGAGGCAGACCCTGGGTCTGGTTTAGCTCCTGGGGGGCTCGGGGGGGCTGTCCCAGCAGCCAGCTCGGTGCTGTGCTGGGATGGCAGGACGCATCCAGCGCTGCTCTGGGGCTGCCGCGGCTCTTCCTGGAGGACTTTCACGGGGACTTCCCACATCCCACCGTCTCACGGTTTTGAGCACCGAGCAGAGCAGCGCCAGGAGCTCCCTGCTTCTTGCTTGCTGCAGGTTAGTCACTCGCCAGCCCTTGCAGAGCCAGGGGCTAAGCTAGCACGGGGGAAAGCACAGGCAGGAGCAACAGGCTGCCTTTTACAGAGCTTCCTGGCTAAAACTCAGCCTGGGCCAGGCTGGGACGGTCACTGGGACAACCGACATCGCTGGGACAGAAATGGGCTTTTTGTTAATAAAAGGGGAGGGTGTGAAAAGCAGTGTCCCAGCTCAAACACCTCTGTGTCTTCTCCTTCTCGAGGTTTGCCTGCTGTGGCGTGGGCCGTTGGGAGGGCAGGGGCTCTCTCCCCGCGTCCAGGGCACAGGGACTGAGCTTTGTTTCTCGCTGGTTTTCTATCCCCCCCCTTCAACTGCCAGAGCCTGCGGATAAACCCCAGTCCTTCAGCTTCACGGTCTGAAAGCCTCCTCCAGCTGGGCACTGGGGACAGGGGTCCCAATCCAACCCTCTCTGCTGGACCCCGTCCTCAGTGGTTGCGTTTCCTTGCACACATGAACAGGGAAATGCTCCTGGATTCCCCCGGGAGCCCCGGGAGGTTGCAGCAATCGGGGCTTGGCTCCAGGGGACTCTGTCCCCTGTCCTGCCC